GGCTATCCGTGCTCTGCCCACCATGGGTATCGAAACCCGGATTCTAGCGTTGTAAGTTCGCAGACATACCGCTGTGCCACTGGGGGGGGGGGGGCTCTTAAAGTAAAATGAGCTTATTTGTTCTGAAATGTTATGATTAGTCAATGTTGAACTTTTTGTATATCTGTTTGCAAGAACAATTCAAAGTACTTTTGTACAAAAATACAAGTAAATAGGCCATTTAATCTCAGTGTAAGTCAATCACTTTTTTCAGTAAGTGCCTACATTACCTTATAATATCTATAGGATCGAGATTACAACGTCATTTACCTTTACTGCTTTATCAGGTTCCAACAGTCCGTTATTTCGAATGACTTCCGAAGCCACGCTGTTTTCTTCATTGTCAATTTCCTTGACAAAAACGTTACTTTTACTAGCTCGTTTGATTATTATATTTCCAGAATCATCCATCTTGACTTTCACACCCTTTAAACGTCAGAAGCAAAACATTAAAAAGCAAAGTTAATGATGTAAAACAGTTATATTTTATTACAATAATCTGTTGTTTTCTTCCTATATTTATAATAGTTTCGATTAAAAATGAAAAAAATTATAATACTGTGCAACCCTAGTGCTTATATTTTATTGTATAAAACATGTTTTGTCTAGTATTATTCAGATGTAGATCTATTGTAAAGGGTTGTTTATAAAACATGTTTTATCTAGTATTATTCAGATGTAGATCTATTGTAAAGGGTTGTTTATAAAACATGTTTTATCTAGTATTATTCAGATGTAGATCTATTGCAAAGGTGTTTTTTTTAAAACATCTTTGGCCTACTGCTATTCAAATGTCTGTTTATTAAACAGAGTGATTATAAAGAAAACCACACATTTAAAATGATTATGTCTTGAAACCTTCTTGTCCTAGGAGAACCAAGTTTCACCAGAAGCATATTAAGAATCACAAGTTTTATTCAGAAAGTTTGTACGCTACAGTACAAAATTTACCATCAGGAACCTAATCAATTTGAAGTTTAACAAATTTTCTGTCATAGAAGTTGATTAATGTTTTCTGATATGAATTATGTTGCAGTTAAACAAAATAAAAGTTTTTATTGTAGATATGTGGCTCCGAGCTCTACAAGTAATTTATTGTCGTATTTGTGATATTTTGTAAACAACAGTTCTCTCAACTTTGCAAGGGAATGAGTTATTAAGAAGTCTTTGATACACACGTGTTCTCAAGGAACCGTTTTACAGAAATTATACTAACAATTATTTTAAGCATTCTTTTGGTGTTTATCATAGTTTCTATAGAATACATCTAATCTATATAGCTAACGCAATTTAGATACTAATTCGCATTAACTTCTGCTATGTATTCATTGCTGGAATTTCCTATAACAAGGCCGTTCACCAGTTATCAGTAGCAGCCACGACCCTACATGGACATCATGAACTGTGCCAGTGCACGCCACCACAAGGGGGTTCGCCCACTGAACCGCTCTACCAAAGGTTATTCATCTCTACCCAGAGAGGAGGGGTCTTCAAAGACTACTGCTAATACCACAATGATGTCATCACCTGTTACCCAAGCGAAGTTCATGATCATGTATTTCCTTTCTGGTCAAACTTTATAAGGGTCACTGCTCTGAGAAATCACTAGAAGAAATGAACAACACGGGTCTGCGAAATCGTCAGAATCAGGCAAAGAAAGGAACAATATGAAACTGTTTTAATCCACAAGTTGTCCTAACGCTAGAAACCGGGTTTCGATACCCGTGGTGGGCAGAGCACAGATAGTCCTTGTGTAGCTTTGTGCATAATTAAAAACAAACAAACAATTAAAAACAAACCCATTGTGTAGCTTCTAACTTTTAATTTAACGACAAACCAAGCAGTAAATCAGTTCCACAAAGCAAATTATAGTTGAAGCGACTCTTCCTCTGCGTTTCTATATTATTTTTGTAAGAATTCTTGTGCTTCTGGTGTAAATGTATACGACTGGATCAACTTGTGGAGTAAAACAGTTTCATATTGTTCCTTTCTTTGCCTGATTCTGACGATTTCGCAGACCCGTGTTGTTCATTTCTTCTAGTGATTTCTCAGAGCAGTGACCCTTATAAAGTTTGACCAGAAATAAGTCCGCAGACATACCGCTGTGCCACTGGGGGCTACACAATGGGCTGGCTATCTATGTTCTGCCAACCGCGGGTATCCAGTAGCTAGTCAGTGTAAAGTAACTGTTTGCAAATAATTCAACTGTAAATTGCTGCACTGTGTATGGATGCTTTTTACCACAGTAATTAGCTGTTTATACACCAAAACAGTTTTTTTATAGCTATTAGCTTCAGAATTATTTAGCTGAATCGATTCCAGAAGCCCACTGGAATTACAATAAAATTAGTTATGGTTAACGTTGCAAATACAGATAAAAACTGTGCATGGTTAAGTTACTTCTTATTAGAAAGGTTAAAACACTATTATTAGTCAACCGGAAATTCTATCCGGAACATCACATCACGAGATGTGACAAACACCTCACGGAGAACGTGCAGTATGACCAATGCAACGTATGTTGGAGCTCGTAAGGAAATGGGAGATGACTTCACACTCTTAACGTATAGTTACCATAGCAACAATCATTGAAACACAACACTTTAAAATTAGATGAGGAGACTCTTCTAAGCTCGTGACGTCACTGAAACCACTAAAATCCTTTCATCTCACAACGAGAATGTCAGAGATGACTAACTGTTCCCCAGATCCGCCACGCCTAGCAGACAATATTTTCTCCTGTAACCAAGGGGGAAAACACAGATTCGTGTGTTTGTGGTAAACGGATCGTAAAAAATTCAAATAACTAACTCCAGGATATCTTTCTCTAGTGATGCTAATGAATTATTTAAATCTCTATTTATATATATATGTAAATGAATCCATAGTTCTAATTACTAAAAGCTACATTAATTGTAAATAGGAGATCAAATCAGCACTATATAAAATAATGAAATTAATACCAATTAAAAACGTCCACAATGAGACTAAAAACGTTTTTGCCATTACCAGTCCTTGTAATTATCATAAATGTATCTATACATTATGTATATGTAGATTTGTAGTATGTTACATAAAACTCTATAAAGGATCCATATTGTGTATATATAGAGATAAAACTCTATAAATGATCTATATTGTGTATATATAGATAAAACTCTATAAATGTATCTATACATTATGTATATGTAGATTTGTAGTATGTTACATAAAACTCTATAAATGATCTATATTGTGTATATATAGATAAAACTCTATAAATGATCTATATTCTGGTATTTTTTAATTAAGAGAAATGCAGTGCAGGTTTAAAAGCCACAAATATTCTTATTCAAAAGATGTAGAATCATTTAAATAAATAGTTACACGAGTACAAAATAGAGACAATCATATTTCAAGCTTCAACAAATTAGAAAAACGGGTTTAATTTTATACTCACGTGCCCTATGTTACGTTTGATCTCTTCTGTTTTGGGATCTCTCATTGGATTGTCAAAACCACACAGTCCGATCCTAATTGGTGGAGAAAGTTATACATTCAGAAGTAATTTTGAAATAACGAGTTCATTCATTTTTAAGTTGTATGATCTGAAAGCGATAAAACGATCGATAAGGAAGAAGACATACTACGAAATAATAAAAATACATTTGGTTGTTTTTTTATCGGATATTCGTATAAAGCCCCACAGAGGTTAACTGTTCTAGTCGCCCCTAATTTGGAACTGATAAACTAAATAAAAGACAACTAATCAACAGGACTATTTTCCTTATCTAAGCAAAGAGTGAGATTTGACCGTCACTGTTATAACGTAACCCACTCCTTTATTCAAAGGTGCGGAGCGTAGTTTTGCGGCAAGGGGACGTGAACTTCGGCCCCTCGGATTCACAGTCCAGCACGCGCTAACCATTAGCCGACACTCGGCCGAAATATGAAACTAAACAAAAACGAGATGAAAGACTTGAAAGAAGCGTGTCAGTTCGTGTTAATATTTTCACGATAAAAAAAACACTTGAAAAACCAGTCTTTAAAACTTTATGTTACCTTATATTTTCCGGTTGTTGTTGTTTTTTATGGGGGTAGGGTGGGGGGGGGGGCAGAGTATTTTTATTTGCCCTAATTTTCCTCCATTAAGTAACGAGGTAAGATAAAACTAGTGGTATAAGAACTACTTTTCGAAAACAAAAATTAAACCTATCAACTCTGTCCAAGAAACAAGACACGCGGCTGGAGTTTGAAAAGTTCCTCTCTACCTTGTAACCGATGTCTTTATCACAGAATTATTTTATTGGAAATTTCGATTGTTTGGAGTTTAGCACAAAGCTACACAATGGGCTATCTGTGCTCTGCCCACCACAAGTTTCAAAAACCGGTTTACAGCAGTGTTAGTCCGCTTTGCCAATGGGAGGCTGAAAATCTCGAGCTAATGATCACTGGAAAGGTTCGCCGCATCAATGTTTTTTTTTTCTTCTGGTTTGATCTAAATAACGGAATTAACTGTCACTTTTATAATAAAATTGCGGAGCGTGTTAAGTGATCTCACGTCTCGAACTTCGTATCCTTATCTGCCCAACACGCTGAGTACTTGGCCACGCCCGGCCCTACACTGCAGAAAATGAATAAGTTGAATAAGTTTGAACTACGAGTAGAGGCAAAGGTCATTCCAGGAATAAAGTGAAATGATTGGTTAGTTCAATAGAGGTGAGCACGTGAGAGTATATGTTTATTGTTTTAATTTTGATGATCGAGCGGCAATCTGATTCTTAATGTTTTTTTTTTACCCCAAGTCTATCACATGGTGAAGAGGGCTTGTCACGATAAAAGTCGGACATACAGCAGAAAGCCCATTGTACAACTTTGCAGTAAAACAAATAAACAAACAAAGAATCTTTTCGTTTTAATAAAGTTTTTATGATAAGTGTTTTTGGAATGTTGAGAAACATGAAAAGGGGGGCCGTCTTTTAAACGCTTCTTTAAGTTTGTAGTTAAGCACAAAGTTACATAAAGGCCTACCTGTGCTCTGCCCACCAAGGGTATCGAAACCCGGTTTAAAGCGTTGTAAGTCCGCAGACATACCGCTGTGTCACTGGGAGGCACTTTTTTTCACTAACTTACTTGTACTTCTTTTAATCTAGATATTTATCGGTTAATGGCGGGAATCGATGAAACGCTAACATTTTTGCTATCAGTTAGTTTTACATGTTTCTAAATAAGGGTTTGACAATGTGTTTTGGCCTATTTGATAAGCTCTAATCTTATTGGCTAATAAAGTACAGAAACTGTTGATTTGTTGGTTCAAGCTACACAATAAGCTATTTCACTGAAACTCACCTGTAGCCGTCAAATCCGTCATCGGATCCGTTTACTGTTAAAACTGGAGATCTGGCGTAAGCCTTAGCAACCCGGCGGTTCCTTTCCATGCAGATAACCTTAGCCCATATTTCATCGTCAATCTGCTCCCATTTGTTCAGTACTTCCTGGATATGATCCTACATTCGGAAATAATGTATAGTATAAAATAAATGGAAGATTTATTTCATGTATAGAAAAAACAACAACACGCAATCAAGGTCATGAATAGTATAACATAACTCACGATCTAGTTAATGTATGGTATAACATAACTCACGATCTAGTTAATGTATAGTATAAAATAAATGAAAGATTTATTTCATGTATAGAAAAAACAACAACACGCAATCAAGGTCATGAATAGTGTGACATAACTTACGATCTAGTTAATGTATAGTATAAAATAACCAGAAGATCTAGTTAATGTACGGTATAAGTTACCCAGGAAATCTAGTTAATGTATGGTATAAAATAACCAGAAGATCTAGTTAATGTACGGTATAAGTTACCCAGGAAATCTAGTTAATGTATGGTATAAAATA